AAGCAGCTCGAGACAATAATGAAGTACTAGTGGTTGTTGGGAAACCCTTCGTCTCCTTACGACGCGTGTCCTCGGTGTCAGAAGATCGAAGGCTGGGGGGCAGTTGATGGGACTTTTCTGAAATACCCTATGATGAAGACACGTGTCCTCGGTTTTACTAAAACACTTGCTAAGATCAAGCACCATCGGCGCACGAATGTCCTCGCCCCCGAGGTACCGTCATATGGGATCATACATTCAGTATATTTTACAACCGACACGTGGCCTCGGTCTGATATGTACCTCGGTCGGCATACCTCCCTCGGTTCCCGAGATGAACCTTTCCTCGGTGCCGAGAGAAACCCCATCCTGGACGCTCCCTCTACTCCAGGACAAGCTATTGACGTACAGGTCATTAGCCTAGGCTAGTCTAGGCTATTCATCATGACCTCGTCTTACATAAGTAATGTCAGAACGTACTGGAATACAGAGGTCACAGCCAATAGGGGATGGACGCGTGGCATATGATATCACATCAAAGACAGACAAACCGCATGTCGTTGCTGACACGCGACTAGGGAAAGCAAACAATTAATTGCACCATTCCCTTGATGAGACCGCATTCAATGCGGTAAGGCTCGGAAATGAAAGGCAATAAATGCTCCTATTACAGAGCATTTATTGCATCCTCCCCGAGAGGAGCACATTGTACCGTCGGCATCCCGATGATCCAGCATTGATTGCTCGGGACCCCGAGCAGTTAATTAGAGAAGACATTCCTCATCCGAATCAATGCACACGCTACCTATGCCTAATGATCACCTACTGACAACACTGACAGCAATCATGAGCTTTTAAGGTATAAATACTCCTTGCAAAAGGCAAAGCGGGTATGCAATCACAAATTCTTTACGACAATACACACTCAGTGTTTTCTCCTTCCTCTCTCTCTCTCTCACTCAAAGACTGACTAGATCGTCGGAGGGGATACGCCGAAAAACACTCCGGCGCCCTTCTAACTTGTTCTTCTTTGTTCCAGGATCCTCTTGCAGCCTTACAGGATCGTTCTTCCTTCCCAGGGTCTCCCGTTGCCGTTCCAGGTTACGACCGTACCTTGCAGGCTGTCCCAAGCAGCGTGTTTGGTCACTGAACTGGCTCACTCGAAGTTCACCAAGGGAGAAATCTGTCCTTATTTTTTATATTATGCAGGATCTTGCGCGCACAACTATAATTGATATTTCTCCCTCTCTTTTATGGCATTGCTCTTTTTCTTACGAAAAATGCTAAATAGACTAAAAAAATTGACTTAATAAATTACTATTATTGGAACTCATAGTTAAATCAATGATAAATAAAATAATTACATCACCAAGTCTAATTTTTAAATTAATTTTTTAAATCTGTGTAGTATTACACTTTTATTATTTATATTCTTAAATGATTTTGTAACAATTCATCCCCAAGATCACATTTTGTTGAAGTGTTAAAATTAATTTTTTTGGATTTGATTTTGCAATGTCAATATCATTTTCATTTGTAACAATTATTATCTTGCTAATATTAATACTAAAAAATAAAGGAAAAAAAGAGTTTTATTTTCGATTGGGTTCTGATATTAGATATAATTCATTATTATTCTAATGATAATAATAAGCTAAATCATCATATGTGATAAATAAATTAAATTTAAATAAAACTACTGTCCCAAAAGCATTAATGCCCAAAAAATATCACAATTCTTTGTCCCAAGCCCTTAAAAAAGGTTAAACCTTCTCTTGGGTAGACTTGTCAACGGATTGAGTTTAGATCAGATTCTGATTGATTCAAATTTAAATTTAATTTCAAAAATTTAATTCAATAATCGGATGTTTTTTTTGTGGTATATGTCCAAATCCGTTAATAATTTGAATTTGATTTAATTCAAATAACTTAATTAATTAAATTTTATCAAATTATACTTAAATTTCAACTAAATTTTTTTAATATTTATATAAATATTAAATATATATATATATATATATATATATATATATATATATATATATATATATATATATATATATATAAATAATTCTGATCGAATCATAATTGAATTAGATATAAGTATATCCAAGTCTATACCCATGAAATATAAGATATCAAATTCAGATTTAGGTTTGGATTATCTATAAAAAAAAATATTAATTCATATTTAATTAATCGGATTTAAATTCGGATCATAATCCGGTCCATTAACAGGCCTACTCGTGGGTATATAAAAATCGGAGTAAGGGGATAACATTATTAAAATGAAAAAAAAAAAAATTTGGTACCATTCTTAAATTTAATTAAATGATTGGAAAAAAAAAAGAGATATCATAGCAAAATATTAATCTAACCTGAGGTAAGGATTCATATTCTATCCTAATATTTTTAAAAAAAAATCAATTCTTTTTTATTTCGTCATGCTGATGTGCAAGACAATGTAAGCAATAGATCCAGTGGCGGTAGTGGGTGTGGCCCGTGTGGGTCTGGATTCTTTGTAATTTGATTAATTAGTATGGGCGGAAAGTGATAACAGTAGTCAACCGCGCTCCTGCTTTTAATTTGATATAGAAAAAATATTATTTGACCTTAATCAAGTGATTTAATTTGGAAAAATTTAATATTATTATTGAACCCGTTTGGATCTAACTTAAATAGGTAATTTTTAAGAGTTTTGGAATAAAATACGTCAAGTTTGTTTGTGTATTAACCTTTTTACCACTCTATTCAGCCCCCTTTTGGACCTCAAAAAACTTATTTAAGTTGATTCAAGTAATTGATTTTATAAATTTTTCTTTTAACTTTTTTAAATTTTGTCGTGGGTTTCACATAATTTTTTAATTTATTATATTCATAAATATTATTAATAGGGTAAAAAAATTAAAATTCATATTTTGGGAATTGTTATGCATAATGTATACATTCATATAATTATTTTTTTATTTTGACACAAAAAATAAAAAAAAAATCAGAAAGTCATTCCAAATGGGCTATTTTCAGCTTTTTAAAAAATACCCAAAACGATTGAGAGATTTTTTTAACTCTTATTTTTTTGCAAAATTTTTCAAACCGTAACTTTCACCAAAAAATTCAGTTCCAAACAGGCCCAATTGAATTATCTCTATTTAATGTTTTTAGGTAACTTAAGCTTTAACTCTAAAGAAGGTATATTGACATGTTTATTTTAGGTTATTTTATGTAATTTAAGCTAAAAATAACATATATAAATTCAAAAAAGAATGTTTAGAAAAATATCCCAATTTTAGGAAGGTGATTCTTTATCTATTTTTTTTTTCTCTTTTTCTTCGTTAGGCCTTAGCTAACATGACCTCTATCACACATCCTCTATGTTAAACGCACGGCTTAAATGAAAAAAGATTAATACCAATCATAAAATGTAAAACTAAAGGGGAAAAAGAGAAGAAAAATAAAACTTTTATATCGATTTCATAGTTCAATTTTACAAAACCAATCATGTTTGTTGCAATCTCTTCTTTAGCATTCATTCTCCCTCGATACGAAAAGTTTGTTGTTTTGTACCGTATCAAAATTTATTCTTGAATCGAATAATGTTTTTAAGAATTATATTTTAAAGTACTTTTTTTTAGTAAAAATCGTAATCGATTAGTTAACATGTTGATTAACCGTATTTTAAAACATAGAAAAAAAAATCAATGACTTATCAAATTATCTATCAAGCTGTGAAAAAAATTCAACAAAAGATAAAAACTGATCCACTATCTATTTTACGTCAACCAATACATGGAGTAACTCTACAGGTGGGTCAACTCATCAAATTCCCAATGAAATAGGTTCCATGCCAGAAAGGTATTGAATCTTATGAATATTCTGCACTTGATATGTCAAAGCAATTTGCAATCCTGCAACTCGCGCATATTGAAAGAAAAAAAATAGTTTAATTCACACATCTTTCGTAGAATACCAAAAAAGCTCTATGAGCTCACTTTTCATTTGACGGCAAACAAAAATCAGACCTCTGAAAGTGAGAGAGTGTTGGACACGATTTCAAACCATGGTAAATTGTTATTATTTTCAATGATTCCAACTCCTGTGGGCCTTGGACTTGGCACTAATTACTAAAATCAACAGGCTAGGGTTTGGAACCTTTGTCACAGCCCTCAAGAAGCTAGAAAATACCCAATATGGCCTCTTATTCGCCACATCTTTTGGTTCATCTTCCGCACCACTTCATATCATCCAACATTCCTAGCCCATAAGAAGCACATTACCTCTTCACTCTAATTTAAATAATTTTTGCCATGTTGGAGTGAAAGGCACACAATCTGACAAGCCAGACATTATTTACAATCCAAAAAAAAGGAATTTGACTAAAGTAAAGTACTTGCCATTACAGTATCCTAAAAGAGTACAGGCTAGAAACACCACAAGCAAGTGTCCATAAGCAGGATATCTACAGAGGACTCCTAAGAAACCATATTGACATTAAAGAAGTCATCACTGGAAACTCAAAATCTTTGCTGTTACAAAAGTGATATGAAGTCATCCTCGACACATAATATCATGATTCAACAACTCGGAAAAAAAAAACACAAATGTACTGCACATGCCACATGTTAATGTGGTTTGGCTAGTGTTAGGCAGTCTGGCAAAGATCAACCCAAACAAGGCTTTAATGGAGTTCTAGTAAGGTGGTGCATGTCTGAGGAATAATCCTAGCATTGAGCCCATAGAACCATTCCTCGTAAAAGAAGACTATGTTTTGCTGGAAATATTAAAAGAACAGATCTTAGTATGTTTGTACATATACATTCATGAATTGAAGTGAAGCATTGTCAACACAAGCACCAATTTACAATTTAATTGCCTTGGCATTTTTGTACAAAACAATAAGCTGAGCCATACTGCCTTTGACATACACAAATGTAACATGTTATTTTAAAAGGTTCATTAATTCACCTAAGCTCCTTCATGTCCAGCAAGAAAACACCTGAGAGGAATGCAGATCAGAATAGGATTCAAACAACAAATGCAACTTTGTTCCTGCAAATGATTTGTGAAACAAAAATGCATCAGCTGGGGCAAAAACTTTTGCTCTGCAAAATTATTGGAGATATGGCTATTAATGCTCATAAACTCACATTTCGATATGTAGGTACTCTTTCACAGTAAGCGGTTTAGGACCACCAAACCAATTAATCATAAAAATATCCTCGATTTCCAACTTGAAGATCTGGAAATTGTGACCCTTAGGCCAGTCTGCCAACCATTGGAAGGAAAGTAAACCACCATTAGGGAACAAAAGAATAGAAGTGACAAGAGAAGGGCTTCCATAGATAAAGTATTTATTTACCTTTCATCTCAGGATGCTTTGAGAACAAAGCGGTTCGTGCATACTCAACTTCATCAGAGTTTCCATCAAGTAACTTCAACTGGAAAATCATCGATGCAACTTTTAGTCAAATTTAGCCTTAATGAGCAAGGACAATGTAGCAGGAAAGCTCAGTAAAACATTATGCCAACTGCCACCGTCAAATTATTCTCATGGATGAATTTGTGCTGCTTATGACAAATTGACAATATCACATATTTGTCGACAAATATTCCCCTAATGCAATTAAACCAAATTAATATGATCCAATTATATCAAGTGGCATCCAGTCTTAATTTATCACGAACTGACATAATTCAGCAAATTTCAACTTCATAAACGGTGCCAAAAATATTTCTAAGCAGACTTTTTCGTAGGGCTACATGGTAATGGTGTTGGTATCAAAAGTGTCCTCACTGCACAGGATTAAACCAAAAAGGGATCAACTCTTTGCCTCATTAAGCAGCAGAAAGATGACTGACACACTTCTCATTCATTGTTTAATCCTTAACAGTAGTTAAAATCAATTGAGGTCTACATGTGGAGCACAGGCTTGTGAGAATCTTTACATACTACACACACTCGAGACACAATGAATTACATAAAAAGCAGTTGAGAGAGCAACTCTAAATGAATTGCTATTAGATATATACAAGTATGCTATCTCCTAGTAAGTGGTAACATCACCAATTCAAACAGGCTATCATCAGGTTGTGTTTAAAACAGTTGTTAGACACCTCACTATCTAGCAAGAACTCATTCACACAAACACATCAAAGTGAAACAATTGCATTGTAACCGCCCGTCTGGGTAGGTATGATCAACAAGGTGCCATGAATATCATACTCAAGTCCCAGATCACTCGTATCATGAAAATCCTACAATTCAGTTGCTCTGAATTGTATGGCATTTGGGTCACAGCTAATATGCATAAGGATAAGTTATCTAGTACAAGGATAGACATTGTATGAGGGAAAGTTGGAAACTGATACAGAAAGTTCATAAAGCCACGTATACAGTTGCCATACATGACAGACTTAAGAATTAATGGGGAAACACACCTTTCCCGTGAGTGTAATTTTTGCACAAGTGGGGTTCTCGGGGTCCGTCTTGCCACAAGTTCCAATAGGGTACTCACTGATCGTGAAGGATGATCTCTGGTCTTTCAATGCATTACTTGCAGTTGGATCAAGGGTAGTTAAATAAAAATATGGGATGCCACTGCCTTTGTTGGGTAGCCCATCACTATATGAAACCACATTTCTGCATGGTATTTAGATTTCTTTTGAGTGAGGAATAATAATAGAGAGCATAAGAATACTATATTAGCTTCTGGTAATTAGTATCAGAAGCAAGAGTCAGACACAAAACATTTTGGTCAATTCTAAGACGAGGTGCGGTTATGCATACTAAATGACACAAACTGTTTCTGATACAAGTACCATTGTGTTGTGTAACGAGAAGAAACCCTGGCTTTCATGAATGAATGCAGTGCTCTAAAACTTCAAAAAATTCAGGACTCAAGGCAACGTCAAGTAACTTCACTCCTCCCCTACCTCAATCCACCACCCCGAAGTGGGAGATACATAGCAAGCATATTAGTTTGGCCTGATCATCAAATCACAAGTTAATGTGTGCATCTCCAGGAATCTGAACTTTTAGAAACTTCAGGTCTTCGATTGTCAACATATGACAATGTATACAAGACGTAACATACCATCATATACAACAAGCTGATTTGTTGTAATTGATTTTTTTGGTTCACTTCTATATATTCTCTGTTATAAGACTATAAGTCTCTATTGTTCTATATACTAATCTAATGCTCTCGCGATTTATTACGAATACAAGTTGGAGCAACCATAGTTTCCCACTACATATAGGTAAAAACATACCCAAAAGGTGCTCCTCCCAAATCACTTGCAATGGTACTGCGAAAATAGAAGGACCATATCAGCTTCTATTCCGAAGCATCATACACAAATATATTACAATAAACTCAACTTTTGGTACAGAGTTGCAATGTCTTATACAAAAGTCATGAACTAATTTAGCTCAAATATCAATCTTGAAACTTGGGGTTCCACAGGGTTCATTCCTGGGTATCTACTTGTTAAAACAAGTCTTCAAGTAACTTGCTTTGTATAGCAGGAGAGATGTGTGAACAACTTTTATTGATAAGGAATTTATTCTCAAAGATGAACTACAATCAATTAGTAATTTGCAATAAATGGTAGTGTCAAGGCATCTAAGTCATTAACCATTAAACCATACTCATCAAAAACTAATACACAAGAAGCCCAAACTCACTCATAATAAACATACAATTTTAATTCCCCTTATCCCTTGCGTACATCCATAAATGAACCTTCAAAGCTCAAATACTGAAAAATAAACCGAACTATATATGAGCAACCCTTATCACAACGATTCAGAGTGGGCAATCAACATAAGCAATAGTCAAATCAAATAAAACACTACACATATATTTACAGTTTTGTATAATCAGCAAAAACCCATTATGTGTAAACAGAAATAGAAGCTATACAAGCAAGAGAAAGAGAGATTATACTTGAGGACGCCCCAGGAATTCTGAGAGACCAACCATCGAGCGAAGTCGGCAGCACTATCAGGGTGGGGTCTGGATAAGGACAGTAATAGAGGGCGTCCATCAATCGAATCTTGAATGACCCCCAAAACGAAGAACAAAGTAAACACATAGCCTTTGATTCTCATTTTTCTTGATTTCTGTGAGGCCCTGCCAAATAATGTATCGAGAGAGAGAGAGAGAGAAAAAAAAAAAATATATATATATATATATATATAATTAGTCATTTTTTCGAGTTTTTGTTTAAGCTTTCTATTTTATTTAATTATTTCACTCAACTTTTACTAACTTTTAATAATTTTAAAAAAATTATAACATATATATAGAGATAGAGACAAAAAGAATTTAAAGAGGTTAAATGACTCTCTACATTTGAAGAGTCATTTAAACGAAATAGAAAATTGAAAGCAAATTGAGAAATAAGTTTAGTGTTTGACTTACTAAAAATGAGAAAATAGAGGGTGGGTTGGAGTGACTCTACGACAGCGAAACAAATAATAACAAGAATTCTATTGTCCTCTCCAATCGTAATACATTACAGTTAAAAGACCCGTGTCTTGCATTTAAGAGGTATACTTGCAAGACTAGTGACACACCCAAATACAGTAAAAATATGATTAATTAGATTTTTTACTCACTTTTTTAATACACACTCCTATACATTTTTTATATTTTTAATTACTCATTTTAAATATTATTTTTTATTTTTTTTGGAAATAGTGAAAAGGAGAAAGAGAGAAAATGGAGGAAAGGAGAGGAAAAGAAAAAAATATATAATTAAAAAATTTTACATATCGCTATAGTGATACTCTAAATATAAAGAGTATCATTATAGCAAAATGTTATTTTTAGTATTTTGAAGATAATCTGTTGGAATAAAATTTTTGGATTAAATTGCTAAAAATTGAAGATTGTGTGTCCTTTAACTTATCTCTTGGAGATGCTGTAATATTGATACTTTAAAAAATTTGACGCACCATAACATTCTCTCAAAAAAACAAACAAAATTAATAATATTAAATAAAAAATTTCCTCATAAATCTTGAATTTCCTGAAATTGTCTGTCAACATGTTGTTGTTGCCTCTTCCCATAAAGCTTTCACCCCCTCGATCTCCGTCGGTAGGACTGCCTTGTTGTTCTTGCCTCTCCCCATAAAGCTTTCACCCCTCGATCTCCGTCAGTAGGACTGTCTTGTTATGTGTTATTGAACAAGACAATTTTTTACTCTGATACAATTTGACACAACAAAATATAATAAAAATATCACCAACGTAAATACAATTCATATTTTGAATCCCATGAGCAAATCTCGAATTTCTTGAAATTGTGTGTCAACATGTCGTTGTTGCCTCTCTAACACTCTCCACAAAACTTTCACCCCCACGATCTTCATAAAAAAGGATTATCTCGTTATGTGTCATTGAACAACACAATTTCTTGTTCTGATATCATTTGACGCAACGGAACACAATAAAAGTATCACTAACATTAATACTCAAAAAAATCTAGCGCACCAGAGTTTAGAATAATCATTTAAAAAAAACAAAATAAATAATATTGAATAAAAAGATATTCCCAGCCTGGCAGTAATCGCAAGAGATGAATGGGGGGAAGTACTCGAAGCTACAGTGATGCAAGACAATGAGGTAGCCCCTACAATTGCGAAAGCAATGTCTGCTAGACAAAAGAATGGTGCTATGTTACCCTAGAAGGGGACTCCCAAAAAGTAGTATTTGCTGCAACTCTTTCTCATGTCAAAGTTTCATGGACCATTGCCACGGTTGTTTTAGATATAAAACACCTCTTATCGCAACATTCGGATTGGGCAATGACTCATGCTTACAAAGATTCGAACAAAGCTGCTCGTGCCTTGGCTAAATGGGGACTTGCCACACAATACACAGGCTTGTTGAGTGTAAATGATCTACCGCAAATGGTTAGACAAGAAGTGATGCATGACAACCAAGCTCTAGTCCACACAAGGGGCTTAGTAGACTCAGTATGCTTAGCATTGTAGTTAACTTAGTAGTCAGTTTTTTCCCTTTATTTTCTCTGCTTTGTATCTACTTTTCTTCGATCAACAATAAAAAAAGAAAAGAATAAAAGATATTCTAATTTTAATGTTCGGTTTGGTACAATGAAAAGTTAGAAGGATGAAAAATAAGAGGGATAAATAAAACATTATATTTGGTAAGGAAGATAAAGTAAGAAGGATGAAAAAGTTGATAGATTAATTTTCCTTCCAACTCACCAAAATCAATCTCTCTAAAATCGGAAGAAAAGTAGATGAAAAGTTAATTATTTGGGTTGAGATATATCTTATTTGTCTATATATATATATATATTATGTATATATTAATTTTATATAAAAATTCAATGGTAAAATATGTATATATATTTTTTTCAAAAATTTTTAAAAAAATAAAGATAAAAATTTTAAATTAAAAAAAAATATTTTTTCCATTTTAACTAAGTGTAAAAATTTTCAACTCAACACGATAGCACAACTCAAACTCGATACTAAAATAAATAGGTCAAGTCGCAACTCGACACGATACAATTAATTAAATGAGTTAAGCTAAGTTTGACTAATATTCGACACAAACCTGTAATGACTCAACACAAATCTGACACGACACGATTCAATTGTTATCCCTAATTTTAGTCAACACAAAAAAAATAGTCATTTTTATTTTTCATCCATCCAACCAAACACAAAAGAAATAAAGTGTATCCCTCCTATTTTCCATCTTCCCTACCAAACGGAGCATAAGACTTGCAACCTTATTTATAGTACTAAAGTCATAATCTTTATTGACTAAGAAATTATAATTATAATAGAATATAAGAACTATTCCTCATAGGCTAAAGAATATAATTCTTAATAGAATCAAGAATACTATTCCTAATAGAATAACAATACTAATCTTGAAAGTAAAATTAATCAAAAAAGAAATTAATCCTAAAAATTAATGTAAAATAATAACAAATGAATAAAAAAAAGTCGAATAATTACTAATTCTTATCTTAGATCAACTAATGAGTCTCTTCCTGAAGTAAAAAGAGTTTTAAAGTTAAGAACAAATTTTTTTAACCGTAAAAAAAACAGAAGATTAGGTCATCAAAAGTGTACTATTTATAAAATAAAAATAAAAAAAATACTTTCAAAAGTAAATCAAATTGTATTTATTTTCTTCATCCTCAATTCTCTAATATCCCAAATCAAAACGATCTGAATTCAAATGACAATTTCGGCCCTCCAATTAGAAGTAATTGCAATCTCTGCTCTGTTATGGTTCTCTTGACTCATATAAAAAGCTCATTCCAATTACCTTCTTCAATCCTTAATTTAATCTATCTATTTGCTTTGGATGAAGAATTTTTTGTATCTAACCGAGGTAGTTCAAGGGAAAAAAACTCAGATATCCTGAGTTTGAACCTTGATAATTTCCTGAGGTCTAATTATGAGAGATTTATCTCTCATGAATATCCTAATCTCGGTATTGATGACTACTAGACCAAAAAAGAGATTAATTACCTTCAAAGAAAAGACCCAAATGGAATCGAGAATGGGTACAGGCCGCTTGGGGCAGAGATGAAGCAGTTGGATATTCAAGCTCAGTTAACTTCAGATTCAGACAATGATCAGATTGGAATTATTGGAGAATGTGAAAATGCAGGAAGCTTTTGAGTTACAACAGTAGCCTTTTAAGAACATAACTCTTCTTATTAGAAGATGGAAATGGTACAGCATTCTGATTTGTTGAAGCAAAAATAGACCTATGCTGAGAACCAAGGTAGTTAATAATGTGAAACATCAAAAATCAATGCAAGCTAAATAAGGTTCAACCTTTATATATGATTACTTCTCAAACGTTGTACAAAGCCTTAATTCCATCAATATCATCCCCATGCAAACCTTTGGTCACTCCAGGAGGAATGCCTGAGAACATTATTGCATCCTGGACTGAGCTATGCCCAAGTCCAAGAAGGTGCCCAATTTCATGCAATGCAACCGTCTCCAAATCAAAAGCATTAGCCACTGGCCCAACGGACCACACTTCATCTGCATCATAGTGAAACCTTCCATCAGTTGGTGGCCAGGAATGGGCCAAGACCCCGCCACGCCCATCGAACGGATTCCCATCTCCATGATCACCCCTATGGAAACCAATCTTAATATCAGCATTGGCAAAATCACCCGTCCTCGTGAATGTGAAATGTGATACAGAAGCCCATTTTTCGAATGCCCGGGCCACGGCACCCATGGCATCAGGATGGGTATTAGATAAAAATCCATATGTGAGGTGGAAAGCTGGCCATCTTGGGTTATTATCAAAGAAAGTATAGTGAGAGACTGTGTGGAAGGAGGTGTTGTCATTGTCATGGTGGTGCCTTTTCTTGCCTGCTCGCATTGAACTAGTACCATTGATGATATCAGCCACCCCACATCGAGGCACCACCATCTTTGACACTGTCGGACCATCCAAGTTTCCGGTGGCGTTAAGATGATAATTCAGTTGGTAAGTTTTGATGGCAGACTGGAGGAAATTGTCGAAATCGTCATCGTGGGCATGGGTCGTTTGATTTTCAGAGTGAGGATAATTCAAGTAACCAAATTTGTTAAGGTACTTTTTGAGCTCATTGAGCCCTTTAACCTTTTCACCCTTGTGACACCCTTGCAAATGCTTGATAAATTCGAAAGGTGAGGGTTTTTTATCACCCTTTTTTGGTTCTTCAACCTTTGCATAGGCAAGGAGAGGAAGGAGTAGGACGAGGAGGGAGATGAATGAAAAGAGCTTAGGAATTATAGTTGCCATGGTTGAGCTTTGTGAGTGCTTGTTGGCTTATATGTTTACTCATATGATATGTCCTAGTTCTATTTATAGGTAAAAAAAGGTTCAAACTATGATGTTTATGTTACTTTGCCCCACAATTTTTGATTTTCTCACATTACTCCCTCAACTACCTACACTGTTTTACGCTATGCAAAACACAAACATTCATCATCTTTTAGACGACAAATGTTAAAAAGTGAAACAAAATCACTCAATTTGGGGTACAAAGTGAAATAACTTTTTGTCAAATTTTTAAAGGATGTTAACCATTGGGACACAGTGAAACTAATAACAATAGTTAAAAGTGAAATATGAGAAACAAAGATGGTTAAGGGTATAAAATGACACAAAGTTTATAGGTTGAGGGGACAATATAATTAATCCAAAAATTATATTGACTCTGAAAGTTTGGCTGTTTCCGAGTTTTTTTCTTGGTCCACAGACAATTAATTTATAATTGACGATTTTCTTTAAGTTTGAAATTTTGAATAGATGTTAATAAATGACCTTTTCTCCGATGGTACTTTGTACCTTGAAAAAGTTTTTCTCAACTTAGAAAGACTTCTCAGACCAGGCAATATTAGTTTTTTTTTTTTTTTGCAATAAGGTTGTCAAACTTGTCTGACTTGTGTTAACTATTCACTCGAATTTAGTGGTGGACCACCGTAGCTAAAGAAGATTGTACTGAATTAGAGCATGTCCATAAAAGGACAAGGATAGCTAGTCTTTAAAGGTGTGAGAAAAGATTGAACCTGAGAGTTCTGACCAGACTCAACCACTAAATCATCTTAAGAGTTAGCCAATATTAATTTATATTAGGGGTAACCCGTGCCTCAAAATACGGTACACTCTAAATGATTTTGAGAAGAATATTAGCAGTCGTTTAATAAATCTATTTAAAACCGTTAAATAAATTTATTAAAACATCCATAATCGAAGATGAGAAATCAAAGCAGAAGAAAAAGTATGTTACACACGTAGCCCATAATTGGTTTATTCATTTTACACGCATAATCGAAACTGGTCAATACACGTTATCAGTTGCTTCTACTAGGCTTCTATTCAATTTTTTTTCGTCTAGATATGATCCTAAAAAGTGATTTCTCAGTATCGTATCTTTCGATAAAAATTTTAATACTTGTAAAATCTTTCATAATTAATAGATATAAATCAATCAAACACAAGATTTATGATTGTCGATCAACTTCGACATACTTATACTTATCATAATTTTTAATGGTTGACAATCATCCGTACGATTCACTAATCTGACACGAAACAAACACAAAATTTTAGTCTTAATAGACAAATCATAATTTGGTGACCGTCAAATTCACTTAATAAATCGATTAATACGAAATAAACTAAGCACAATATGAATCGGACTAAGTACAACCCATTGACGATACCGACCATATTATAAATGGATTAGATATAAATTAAGTACGACTCAAGTTACAAAATTTAAAAATATTATTTCATTGAGAACCTCATCGTTAACACAAACCCTCTTTCCGCGAAACACGCAAATGACATTTTCATGTGTTAACTGTATAGTACTAAAGTGGTGTTTGATAAAATTGAAAGTTGAATATTGAAAACTGAATGCTAAATTTCTAATTCGTGGACTGTTTGCCCACTGAAATTTACATACTGCATTAAATCACGTTGTTTGATAATTACAAAGCTAATATCTGAAAAATAAGTTAACTTAATTATAAAAGGTTAAACCGTTGAACACTTTCTGCTTTGAGAATTAAGTACTTAACTTTTTAAGAAAATCGCCAATTATGCATTGATTGATTCTGTGGACCAAGTAAAAGCCGCATTTCCATGGAAAGAACTGGACGAAAAAAAAAACTTGGAAACTGCCTAACTTTCAGCGTCAATATAGTCTTTGGGTTAATTACATTTTGTTCCCTCAAACTATGAGCTTTGTGTCACTTTATCCTCTCAAACATCATTTTTCTCATATTTTGCATTCAACTACTTTTATGAGTTTCATATTGCCCCAAAGATTACCATCCGTTAGAAATTTGTTTCACTTTATCTATTGAACCGAGTGATTTTGTTTCATTTTTCTCCAAGATGTTGACATTTATAGTCCAAAAAATAATGGAAATTTGCGTTTTGGACAGCATAAAACCAATGTAGGTAACTGAGGGAATAATATGAGAAATCAATAGTTGAAAGGACAACGTAACGTAAACATCATGAACTCACAAGCCCGGTCATGGCACCTATAATTTCTAAGCTCTTTCCATTCATCTTCCTCCTCTTTCTACTCTCTCTTGTAATGTAACATGCAAAAGTAGAAAAGCCAAAAAAAGGGTCAAAAAACCCTCTCCTTTCGACTTTATCAAGCATTTGCAAGGTGTCATAAGAGTCGCCCGGTCATGGCACCTATAATTTCTAAGCTTTTTCCATTAATCTTCCTCCTCTTTCTACTCTCTCTTGTAATGTAGCATGCAAAAGTAGAAAAGCCAAAAAAAGGGTCAAAAAACCCTCTCCTTTCGACTTTATCAAGCATTTGCAAGGTGTCATAAGAGTCGCCCGGTCATGGCACCTATAATTTCTAAGCTCTTTCCATTCATCTTCCTCCTCTTTCTACTCTCTCTTGTAATGTAACATGCAAAAGTAGAAGAGCCAAAAAAAAGGTCAAAAAACCCTCTCCTTTCGACTTTATCAAGCATTTGCAAGGTGTCATAAGAGTCGCCCGGTCAAGTGATAATATAAACGAATTATAAATTCAAACATTTTGAATTTAAATCTTAGTAACTCTTGGAATCAGATCATGAAATATTTATTTCCCATAAATACTGATAATGTACAAAATAATCTCATACAAGATCAATAATCGAGTGTGTGATAAAGTGTAATGAATAGACAATTAATAGAGCAATCAATGGTAATAATATAAATATCGAGTTAACACACAGATGTATAGTGATTTAGTTAGAATGACCTACACCACTTCGAGAAATGACAACAGTGACCGAGAGACCTTTATTGATAAAGTAAGGTAAACAAGAGAGAGAATACTGATTAGTTCCGAGAGAGTTACAATAGTTATGAAAGAGAAAAGTTATGTATAAGGTGTGTAGAGATAGATTAAGAGATGCCCTCTCATATAGAAAGAACTTACAATTTATAGGCATAAAGCCTTGGTTAAGGCGGTCATGTGAGAACAAATTTACTAATTCTCCAGGTAGCTACAAAAAAGTAAGTGTCATAAAATGTTGTCTTAATTTTCGAGAGTGAGTATCCCAATAATTGCTCTTCGCGTGCTCTAATTTTTCTTAGACTCTTCAAATCTTGGGTTGAGTCAAATTTACGAACTGGTCTTGACCTGTCTTTTAACTGACTTTGACTTACTTGATTTATTAGGTCTGACTCGGTTAGATTTGGACTCATCAAATACTACAGTCTCGACATTAATGACCTACATTTGATTGGATCCAAGAAAAAATTAGTTGAATTATGCATAAATTAATTCAAACACACCTGGCCATTAAAAAAAAAAGGGACAATGAGCATAAAAAGTACCTCAATGAATTTGGTTACCAACTCCATGCGAGCAGGCAAGAAAAGACACCACCATGGCAATAACTACTTCCATACAGTATCTCTTTACACTTTCTTAGATGGCAACCCAAGATGGCCAGCCCATAAAACCCATCTCACCTATGGTTTGTTATCTAATACCCTTCCTGATGCCATGGGCAATTCAAAAATGGGCATCTGTATCACATTTCATATTCACGAGGAATGATGATTTTCCAATGCTGATATTAAGATTGGTTTCCATGGCGGTGATCATGGAGATGAGAGCCCATTCGATGGGCGTGGCAGGTGTTGTCCGTATTAGGGTGAGTTTTGTTAAGCGTCTGTACGGTTAGGGAGAAAAAACCAGAAAATGAAAATGGTAGAAATTAAAGTGAAAGGAAAAAATATTATAAAAATTATATTTTCATATATATATTTGATTAACATGAAAAATTTGCGTAAAAATTTTTAAAAAAAAAAAATCATTCTATTATTTAAAAGAAAAGAAGGTTACAAGAATTTTTTATTATTATTTAACTTACACTTAATTATATTAAATCAGTCTAAAGAAAAAAAATATATGTATTATAATTAAAAAAAAAAAAATTTTAAAAAGCTCATAACCTAATTCTTGGGCAAGCACCAATGCGAAGGTGTTTGGATTAAATTATATGGTTAACCAAATTCTTACAAAGATTTTTTAAAATTAATAACTAATAAAATATTTTAAGAAAAATAAGGATAAAATATGAAATTATTTATGAATCACAACTTTCTTGTATTTTTTTGTTATTTTTTACAAGAAACATGTAAGACAACTATTTTTATATCACACCTCATTAACACTTCATAACCATTTTAGCAAAATGGAAAATGGTAAAAAATAATAAGAAGAAAAGAAATTATGATAAAGGATGAACCTTCACTACTTACTGGTAGATCCAAGTGAAGACCATGTACTACAATAGGACATTATATTTTCCAATGAGAGATTAATTCTTGCAAGACGGCTTACCTCCAAACACATATAATCTCTCTTATTATAAACTTGCGAGACTACCACTGCATAATATATATTTACATCACTTACATACTTTACCCTTACTAACTTTAGCATCGGAATACCTCTACGGGCAAACTGGTGGCCCTTTGATTAGTTTTCTAATCCTGCAAACCATGGAAAAAGCCATCAACAGTTTATAGGTAACCATCCAACCCACTTTTCATCAACAATAATACTGAAGCTTATATACGCTTTCTTTCACAGAAATTAGCCATCATATCATGTCTTACTCTTGTGGAATCTGCACAAAATTATGAACATTACCAAGCTTAATGCACTTAACAAGGCTAGAAGCCAGTAATACTTATCTAAGCTGGCTTCTGTCATATCATCAGAGAACCAGCTCTGTCTTCCTCCTCCTCTTGAACTCGTCGTAAATTCGATGACAGAGATAAGAAATGCACTTAAAAAGCTTCCTAACCCAAAAACACTAGTGTATAGAGCTATTCCCATTGTCCTCATCTTTACAGGAACTTCTGTATAAAAGAACTCTTGCATCCCCACAACTGTGAAAACATCAGAAATGCCCAAGAGAATGTATTGAGGTAACAACCAGAAGATGCTTAATGGTACTGTTTCTGAATTTGATCCTGAAATCCCCATCTTTCTACTAATTGCAAGCCTCTCTGTTTCAACGATGGCTGCTATAGACATCGCAACAACTGACAGAAACATTCCAATACCCATCCTCTGCATCACACTGATACCTTTCTCACTACGTGTGATTAGACGAGTGAGTGGGATGAAGAGCATTCTATATAAAGGCATTGAGAGAATTACAGACACGGTGATTGCACTCTGTAGTGTTGCTGGTGGGATCTTGAAGTTGCTACCTATGTTCCTCTTCATTGTCGTACCTTGTTTAGTGAAGAATGTAGCGGGCTGTTGGAATATGACAGCAAACATTAGAAGCATTGTCCATATTGGCAGCAGACGAAGCACTACTTTCGCAATTTCAATTCCATCATCCGAGTTCTTATCCAAGCCCTCAATTCCATCAATGTCTTGATGACAAAGGCCACTTTCTTCAAGCCTGTTAAATAATAAACCCTGTCATTAGTACTAAATCAGTTCAACATTGTAATCAATCCTTCTTCAAAATCAATTGAGAAAACTTACTCCAGCTCCACCACTTCAGATTTCCTAGTTGATATCTTGATTCCACCATTTATAATTCTCGATGCAGTTGCTTTAATGGCTCGAACTATGTTTTCAAGTGACTTAATATCAAAACTCTTTTCTTGTTTATACGTATAAAATCTGCTCCCACAAGAAAAAATTACAATTGATGCAGACATTGCTATTGTAGGAATGGCAAATCCCAATCCCTATCCTATTGTGTCTTGGATATATGACGTGAACGAGATCCCTAGAAGGCAGCCACTACATATACCAAAATACCACCAGTGGAAGAACAAAGACTTCTTGTCAGAATTCTGGTAACTCTTGCAGCAAGGCAGTTCCTCTTCATTTTCAAGTTGATCTGCTCCAAAGGCTTGTAAGGAAGGGTTATATGCACCTTGACCTAGTGAAATCATGTAGAGAGACAAAAAGAGTGATGAAGAGGAGCTGGCTCTCTTTGTAGGAATCCAATGCCATTCCAGTGCTGTTGATGTCAATGCTAGAAGCCCCTACAAAGAAGAAAAGAAGAAATTTACACAACATCCTATACCCATGAAGTGACACACTAATATTGTTGGGATAGTCGAGGACTCATATTTACCACACCCAAAAGTTTAATGACCTGTCCTCGTGGTACGATATATTTACATTGAGAAATTTTCAATGTATATTGAATAATATGTAATGTTATAAGGATTAAAGTTCTCAAATGATAATAATACATGAGTTGTAACTTGTAACTGAATTGAGACTGTGATACAGTGAACATAAGCTTTTCCTATTTCGGCTTGGAATTAAAATACTGAACAGGAAAGGAAAACCGTCCAGCCCTTCAAGCCCTGCTAAGGAAAGGGGGATGTGTTCTTGGTTGTTTCAACTCCACTTCTGCTCAACATTGATACTCTCACATACTTCTTCAAGCGGCAAAACACTCAATGCTCAAGCAGTTACACCTTATTAATTTCATACTCCTTTGGTAAAGTCAACAACCATTCAGTGAATTGTCTTGTGTTATTACCTTTCATTAAATTCACTTAATCCTTCACGATGTTTTGGTGTAGGTACTTGTACATTGAAGTCTTAGAGAGCTGCTGTAGCAATTTAGTGAACCACATAAGTATGTGTATTCTTTGTTTCATTGTTTTAAAGTTAAGAACAAATTTTTTTAACTGTAAAAAAAACAAAAGATTAGGTCATCAAAAGTGTACTATTTATAAAATAAAAATAAGAAAAATACTTTCAAAAGTAAATCAAATTGTATTTATTTTCTTCATCCTCAATTCTCTAATATCCCAAATCAAAACGATCTGAATTCAAATGACAATTTCGGCCCTCCAATTAGAAGTAATTGCAATCTCTGCTCTGTTATGGTTCTCTTGACTCATATCAAAAGCTCATTCCAATTACCTTCTTCAATCCTTAATTTAATCTATCTATTTGCTTTGGGTGACTTGGAATAAACGTAAGTGAAAAGGGATTCTCAAATTAAGAGTAGAGCCCCGTATATATATCCAAAAATAATACAGAGTGACTTAAACATCCTTGTAGTTTAGGCAAAATATAAAAATCATAGTAAGGGTAAAAAAGGGAAAAGAAATCCTAATAAACTAGACTATCTATACTCCAACACTCCCCCCAAGCTAGGCGCAAAAATGTCAACTAAGTCAAGCTTGACAACGGAGTCCCGAAGAATAGACAGAGTGACAGGTTTGGTAAAAACATCAGCAACTTGATCACTGGTCCCCACAAACGATGGAGTAACAAGACCACTGCTGACCTTCTCCCGAAGAAAGCGAACATCGATCTCTATATGCTTCGTTCTCTCATGTAGTACAGAGTCAGAAGCGAGCTGAATAGCAGATTGATTATCACAATATAATGTGGATGGAGAGGTCACTGAAAAACCCAACTCGTCAAGAATCGATCGTAGCCAGATAATCTCACATGTGCCCAGTGCCAATGCCCGATACTCTGCCTCTGCGGACGAGCGGGAGACAACTGTCTGCTTCTTGCTCTTCCAAGAGATAAGATGAGTCCCTCGAAAAGTACAGAAACCCGTAGTAGATCGACCATCACATGCTCCCCCATAATCTGAATCTGAATAACAGGCTAGAGAACCGGTCTGAGATCGTGATGCATAAAATAGCCCAAGTCCAGGACAAGACTTGAGGTACCGAAGAATATGATAAAACTGCATCAAGATGAGGCTGACATGGCCTATGCATGAATTGACTAACTCGGCTGACTGCGAATGAAATGTCCGGCTTAGTATTGGCTAAGTAGATAAGTCTACCTACCACATCTTTGATAAACTGTCGGATCTTTCAACTCCTCACCTTCAGCAGTAAGCTTCAGGTTTTGAATCATGGGTGATGATGCCGTTTTGCACCCCAACATCCCAGTGTCTGAAAGAAGATCCAAAACATACTTTCTCTGAGAAAGAACAATACCTCTGCTTCTACGGGCAACCTCAATCCCAGAAAGTATCGCAGAAATCCAAGATCCTTCACATCGAAGGCCTTCCCAAGGTCTATCTTGACCTGTGCAGTCCCAAAACATCATCACCAGTAATAATAATATCATCAACATATACCAGAAGGATGACACACTGTCTAGAAGTATTCCGTCGAATAAAGCAGGTATGATCAGAATGACACCTGGTGAACCCCAATCGTATGACTACATCACTGAAGCGAGAGAACCAGGCTCGTGGCGACTGTTTCAGTCCATAAGGAGACTTACGCAGTCGACATACCTTTCCAGCATACTCCCCCTCACCACGAAAGCCCGGTGGTGCATCCATATAAATAATCTCGTCCAGATCACCGTGAAGAAACGCATTCTTCACATTTAATTGATGAAGAGGCCAAGAGTACTCCGCAGCCAGAGAAATAATCAACCGAACAGTAGTCAATTTTGCCACGGGGGCAAATGTAGCACCAAAATCACGACCTGGTACCTGAGTAAAGCCCTTCGCCAAAAGTCTAGCCTTGTAAC